AGTTATATGAGTGAAAAACAAAATCTTGCTTTCCATTTTATTATTCAAAATATTTTATTATTATTATTATTAAAAAAAAGAAAAGTTCGGATTACAAAATGAAATAAAACAACATAAAATTACTAGTAAAATTTACCACGAAGCACGACTTAGACCATCATGCAATATGTAGATTTGAATTCAGATACAGATACATCAACGACACTATTACAAACCTCTTGACTATGTATACATGTTCTTATCCGATTATAATCATCAATGATTTTTTTAATGAGAATTTGATTATGTAAATTTTGAATCATCACTAGTAATGTTATTTCATCAATAAATTTCTGTTTTATTCTATTTTCACCACCGTTTACATCTAGTAGTTGAATCTACCAAAAACATTCACTTAACACGACGAATCAAGACCTGATCCATTCAGGTCCAGACTTAATCGGAACCGAATTTATAAACTAGGTGCAATAAAACTGTCCAAGTTCGGATATGTCTTTATCAAATTTACCTTTGGAGTTCAGGAAAGTTTCTACTTTATCCAGATGTTCTTTAGAAATGGTTCAACTGCACCAGTACACAACAGATCAGACATATTTCTTGATGCTTCCACTTTCCATTTCCAGCACCAAATAGATTAAATAGGATCATTGAATTTACTCTTTTTGATTTACATGAACCAGCTTGCTTGGAGACATTCTACACAGACCAAGTACTTCAAAGAAAACACAAATTCATGTCCAAAATATTTAGGTACAAGAAACTTCACATTCTCCATATTTAACAAGACCGATGTATAATGGTCATTTTACTCAATAAACTTCGATTAATTTCACATTTAAATTGTTTTTTATTTATTTTCTTTGTTTAAGCTTGTAAAAACGTATCTAGGAGAACTATATAATCTCGTAGGATATAATCTCAATCATCAATTCCCTTGTAATATTCATGAATCATTTATTAATAGTCAATAAATCAATTTGTTTTTTTTTCTGAAGAATGTAAAATTTATTCATCAAAAAATCTCTTTACAAAGAATGCTTATTTGGTTCTAAAAAATTGAAATCAAAACAACATTAGATTAGAAATTTGTGCTAACTTGACTCTGAAACTTTAGCGGGTGGAGAATCACCAAGTTAGACCATCATCGTATCTGGTACCACTTGTCATTCGGATGGAAGAAACTCTGTTATGCACTCCCTTGTCGATAAAGTGAATTAGCTGGAGAGGTGATTGTGGTTGATCACTATGACCTCTTCCATTTCGCTTGCGCCAAATAGTGTGTACTGCCAGTTGGAAGACATATCTGAATAGTAGAGGGGTTGAACTTAGCGTTGAGTCAGAGAGGAGAAGAACCAGACTATCCCAATCTGTGGAGAAGCTATCGATGAGTAGATTGGGCGCAAGATTGGTCCAAATCAATTTGTTTTCTTTTTTAAAGCTTCGCCTTTCTGTTTTATTCTCTATTGTTCATAAGTGCAATTATTTGATCTTTTGTGTTTTTGTTATTTAGAGTGTGTGTGAATCAAACCACTTTTGGTCATGGGAGGAAAGCCTTGATCCATGCGAGGAAAATCTCTTAGATCAACTCCTTTGTCCATTGATATATTTGGACCTGACACAATCTTCATCCATCAATATATCAACATTATCTTCATCCATCAATATATATAACTTTAAATCTTTATGTGCTATAAGTTTGGTGGCTTCTAATCTTACATCAAATCTCGCATAGGAGAAGAGATCGAGCAAGTTTTACGACTTCTTTGCTTCTAACGATGAAGAAGACAAATGTACTTAGTGATGACAGAAAAAGTTCCGAAATGTAGAAGAAACTATATGGCTATTATCATTTAATCTTGATGGTGAAGTTACTGTGCTTTGGATACAAGTTACACATGTAGAAAACAATTTAGAACTCTTTAATTTTTAAATAATTTGAAAATAAAAGACCACAATCTTTAAAAAAATTCACCATAAATAAATGATGTTGGAAAAAACCCTTGATATAGTAATCCAACAAAAATTTTTTTAAGAAAGAAAAATATAGATCATATATTTTAGATTATCATTGAAATCTAAAAATTTATATTAAGAAATAAAAAAATGAACACATAGATTTTTGTGACATTTTAGATGGAAAGTGTATTAAAGTGTTTAGACAAAACTAATAAATTAGTAATAATAAGATAAAAGTTATAAATTCATTAAAACATATATATATATATATATAGGGTATTCTTGTGCATTTAATATAATAAGATCTATGGATTGTGTTCCACCCAATTAAGTTTTCTTTTTTTGCTGTAATTTTTCAGTTTTGTGAAATAATTAACAAATAATATTAATTGTTTTAAATAATTATGCCTCTGATAAAGATTTTGTATTGAAAACATTTTCCACCCAATTAGTGATAGTAAGGTTTCTAACTTAATTTAGGGATGTGGTCTATATTTTTCCTAAAAAGCAAATAAGTAAAGACTCATTTGTTGTATAAATATACAATATCTTGCCTTACCTTCTCTTATATTTTCCATCTCTCAAAGCTTCCGAGATAAATTAAAAAATACAGTTGAAAAACAAGAAATTCTTCTCGTCAAAAATAGCATCTGGTATGTTTTTTCCTTGTTGTGATTATTCATGCTTCTTCCATAGTTATCAAAATTGCTCGACTATTTACTCGTTACATATTTTCTGCGTGAAACTAATTCGTAAATTTACGTATGATAACCACATATATATACAGGGAGTAGAGTTATGAATAACGTGTACATTGTTGAGCCCATAGGAGTTCATAAAGCCACTATAGTCTGGCTGCACGATATCGGGCTCAAAGGCGTCGAGTAACACTCTCACTGTCTCCCATGCTTTGTTTTGTATTGTTTTATATGCTCTCTTTTTTTCCCTAAAATATATGCTCTTTTGTTTTCAAAACTCTCGATTTTGTACATTTACTCTCTATTTTCTTTTCTTGTTAGATAATAATAAGTTCGTTTCACTAAAGTTGTATATACATTACATATTATACACATTATATATATTTTAATTAATCTACTATGTATGCAGCTCAGTTCAGCCTCTGCAAAGTTTGGGTCTTCCCAATGTAAAGATCCATACAGATACATGTGTTTGCCATGAATTTAATTTCTTTTTATATATAGCCACAATGGAAACTATGAATTTTCTAATAAAAATATATGATTTGGCATAGATAAAATGGATTTTTCCGACTGCTCCTACACGTCGTGTTACTTCTTTGGGTGGAGAAGAAACCACTGCATGTACGATTAATTGGCTATAGATATACATATATTATTTTGTTTCTTCTAAATCAGTATTTGATGTCTCTAAAATATTACTAATTAAAATGGAAAACTAATAATACAGTATTCATAATCCTTTATGGTGAATCAGGGTGCGATATTACAAAAGTTTCAGAGAGCATGCATCATGATTTTGAAGCTTTAGATAATGTGAATTCATTTGTTGCTGGCCTTTTCTCTTCCGAACCAGAACATGGTAATTCGAAATTATCTACACTTAACATGCATAGTTTAGACTATCTATACATCAAATACATATATATGAGTAAATAATTAATACTTTAATGTTGATTTTGGTATAGTTATTAAAGGTGTGGGAGGAGTTGGCTTGGGTGCAGCACAAGCTCTCTACTTTGCGAGTAACTATGCCTTTGGACGAGTCACCATAAACCTAAAAATTGTTGTAGGGATCAACGGTTGGCTTCCTAGCTGGACGTAAGCTCCTCAAGCCCTGATGTAGTTTTTTCACAATATTTTATTTAACTATTCGTATATACCTTTTAATAATGGAATACCAAAATCGATCAATAATCTTGTAGGACCTTACGAAACAATATGTATTCTGCCTTTGGGACTTTTGTTCGTGCCGGATCGCTAATCTTACTTACATATGGGACTTGTATGTCTTATAATAAGTTACATTATATATATATGTCTTCTTTACAATTTAAGTTAGTATTTAAAAAACGAGATCATGCTATTTCTTGGTTTTTGTTGTTGTTGTTGTTGTGTCACTTGCAGCTGATGATGTAGCTTTCTCAGCATTTGCACGCATCTGCGCTGACTCCCTTCACTTGGCTGGATTTCCAATCATTCACAAACAATGCGGAGGGTCTATATTCATAAATTACTTTATTTACTTCACTCATTTATTTTTTTTAATTATTACCATCTTTTAACATATTGTTCTTCTCTGAATTATGTCATGTGCAGGGATCATGTCATGAATGATCTTCGCGTAGCACTCCCGCAATATCTTAGGCTCTGATGAGGATATTGCTAAACTCTGCATCCTGAAAAGAATATGGAATAAAATTATCGTAAAACTTTAGCCTTTATTTTTATTTCTTTGCTATTCATAAATTATATAATTGTTAATATATTTTTTCATTTTTATCCTTCAAAAGCTGAAGTTTATTTTCAGTTTTCTGTTATATCAATATATCATATGAAAAGGTTATTATATTGTCAATGGTACTAACAAAAGAGGAAGAAGTAAAATTGGTGAAATAACATATTGATTTAAAAAAGTGGGTAAGTGGTATAAATAAAGACATACATACAGTGTTGTACTACCAAAATATCAATTGTAACATATCCAATTAATTAACTATCCGTTGAGATTGTACATACCTACCATATATCGCTCTTTTCCCTCTCTTTTGATGTGCCCTATTCTCTCTTTGTCTGCGCCCTTTCTTCTCTAATATATATTGTCTATTTAATGGTGTACCATACAAACTATTTATACTACGTTTAGATAGATTTTTATTATATTTTCGTAACGCATAATTCCATTCGATATACATTTCTTATAAATGATTTAAAGTATGACATGACAATATTTGTTAAAATATTTAGAACGTGTTGTATCAATGCAACATAAGCTAATATTGTTGTGTTCACATGTGTATACTAAATCAAATTTAGAATCACATCAAATACAAATATATTCACCCGATAAAACATGTCTTTAATAAACCAAACCATCACATAATAGTGTACGTATAAGCGCATTTAAACAATAAGCATCAACAAAGATCAACATGCAGAACCACACAACACAAAACAAAATCAAGACAAACAAACGTACAAATCAAGAACAGAAAACAACTCTTCATCTCACTTCCTCTCTGTCGCATGAGTAGTGGTCGTAGTAGTAGAGGTTGGAGCTGAAGAATCATGTTCTTTGTTTCCTTCATCAGTACCAAGCCCTAAAGTGTGCTTAACCGCATCAGTAGCTCCCATAGCCATTTGCTTCACTTGCTCACCGGTTTGGCCCAAGATCCCACCGGTCTTGTTCTTACCAGCTTCTGCAGTCTCCTTGGTATATTCTGCTGCATCTTGTGCCTTGTTCTTAATTGTTTCTCCTGTCTCTGACATGTAGCTTCCCGTTTTGTCCTTGGACTCTTGAGCTTTCTGTTGAGTTGTTTGTGCGGCTTGAGATGCCTTGTCTTTAGCTGCTTGAGCTGTTTCATGGGTCTTTTGTTGGGCTGATTGGGCTGCTCCTTGAGTTTTGTCCTTAGCTACATCTGTCTTCTCCCCCATCGCTCTCATAGCTTGTCCTGTCTTCTCCTATGATTTGACATTGGATTTACATTCAAGCAAAGGTTAATAGAGTAATTAACTTAAATATGTAAATAGATTGTGGCTATTGTGTTATTGTCACTCCTATTCAACCTGTCTCTTTCTTATTATTTCATCATCTGAATTCCAAAAAAAAAAAAATCAGCATAGACACATTGGTTGTCAACAATCTTTTGTTGTTATATTATCTAATCATGCAAAAAACAGACCTATGCTTTTCTTTATATAAGAAAAGTTACTCATGAGAAAACATGTTTTCAGAAATATAAAGAACAGACTGTTTTATCAATTAAAGAACACGATACGTCGTAAACTAGTGGCTTCATTCATTTTTCTATGACCTAACTGACACCATTTTTATTTACTTTATTAATTGAAAAATATTATTGTAATATAGCAGATGAATCATTTAGTATACCTGAGTCTGGCCTCTGGTCTCACCAGCTTTGAAACCCTGTTCTTGATGAGAAGCCATTTTCTCTCGTCGAAAAATTCGAAACCAAAATATTTAGTGGAAACTCGAAAGGCTGATTGATGATCAAAAGCTGTTTATCAGAACCTGTGTTGGAAGATATCTCCGACTCTTATGTTTGAGACATTTTATAGCAAGTCTTGGTCGGACCGAGAACAAGAGACATGTTGCAGATGTCTCGACACGTGTGAAGCACGCGTCGCGATTAGGTTAGCGAAACGAAGTTCGAAACTTGGAGTAATGTGCGAGTGTTGAATGTTAGGTTATCTTGTTTTTGATGACGACCTATGTAGAGGTGCCACGCTATAATAAAATAATGTGTTACGGAAGATGCTAGATACGTGGCGAGTCACGTACATGGATTTTATTTACTTAATGCATTACAATATTTATACAAAGACTTAGGTAGTTACGTTCTTTAATAAGAAAACAAAGACTTATTATTACGCTAAAATTTGTTATTCTATCTGTTGCTCACCTCTGTTTTGGAGCTCATGTATTTCTATTCAGTAATCAGTAATCAGTCTCTGCTACTCTGTTATTCGGAGACAAACTCCGTTTCAAATTATTTTCTTTTTTTGGGTTAGTGATACTCAGATGAATAAGAAAAGTTATATGAGTGAAAAACAAAAATTGCTTTCCATTTTATTATCCAAAACATTCCATCATTATCATTACCGAAAAGAAAAGTTGGGATTACAATGTAAAACAAAACAACATAAAATTATTATAATTTACTACGGAGCACGACTTAGACCATCATGCAATATGTAGATTTGAATTTAAATTGAGATACATCAACGACACTATTACAAACCTCTCGACTATGTATATATGTTCTTATCCGATTATAATTATCAATGACTTTTTTTAATGAGAATTTGGTTATGTAAATTTTAAATCATCATTAGTAATATCATTTCATCAATAAATTTCTGTTTTATTATATTTTCATACGTAAAACATTCATTTAACACGGCGAACCAATACCTGATCTATTCCGGTCCGGACTTAATTGAAACCGACTATATAAACCAAGTGTAATAAAACTGTCCAAGTTCAGATATGTGTTTATGTGGATCAATGCAAATTTACATTTGGAGTTTTGGAGAGTTTCTACTTTATCCAGATGTTCTTTAGAAATGGTTCAACTGCACCAATACACAACAAATCAGGAAAATTTCTTGATGTTTCCACCTTCCATATCCGGCACCAAATAGATTAAATATGATCATTGAATTTATCTTTTTGATTTACTTAACCAGCTTGCTAATTGGAGACATTCTACACAGACCAAATACTTCAAAGAAAACACAAATTAATGTCCAAAATATTTAGGTACAAGAAACTTCACGTTCTCCATACTTAACAAGACCGATGTATAATGGCCATTTTACTCAATAAACTTTGATTGTTTTCCCATTTAAATTGTTTTATTTATATATTTTGTTTGTTTAAGCTTGTAAAAACGTATATAGGAGAACTATATAGTCTCGTAGGCTATAATCTCAATCATCAATTCCCCTTGTAATATTCATGAATCATTTTATTAATAGTTAATAAATCATTTTTTTTTAAGAATGTAAAATTTATTCATCAAAAAACGTCTTTACAAAGAATACTTATGTGGTTCTAAAAGATTGAAAAAAATTGAAATCAAAACAACATTAGATTAGAAATTTGTGTTAGCTCGACTCTGAAACTTCAAATTAGATTAGAAATTTGTGTTAGCTCGACTCTGAAACTTCAGCGGATGAAGAACCACCAATGTTAGACCATCATTGTATCTGGTACCACTCATCATTTGGATGGAAGAAACTCTGTTTCACACTCCCTTGTCGATAAAGCGAATTAGCTGGAGAGGTGATTGTGGTTGATCACCATGAACTCTTCCATTTCGCTCACGCCAAATAGTGTGTACTGCCAGTTGGAAGACATATCTGAATAGGAATAGAGGGGTTGAACTTAGCGTTGAGTCAGAGAGGAGAAAAACCAGACTATCCCAATCTATGGAGAAGCTATCGATGAGTAGATTGGACGCAAGATTGGTCCAAATCAATTTGTTTTCTTTTTTAAAGCTTCGCCTTTCTGTTTTATTCTCTAAAGTTCATAAGTGAAATATTTTTTCTTTTGTGTTCTTGTTATTTAGAGTGTATGTGAATCAAACCACTTTGGGTCATGGGAGTAAAGCCTTGATCCATGCGAGGAAAATCTCTTAGATCAAGTCCTTTGTCCATTGATATATTTGGACCTTAAAGTGTATTATTTATCAACATTAACTTCATCCATCAATAACTTTAAATCTTTATGTGCTATAAGTTTGATGGCTTCTAATCTTACATCAAATCTCGCATAGGAGAAGATATCGAGCAAACTTTATGACTTCTTTGCTTCTAACGATGAAGAAAACAAATGTATATAGTGATGACAGAAAAAGTTTCAAAATTAAGAAGAAACTATATGGCTATTATCATTTAATATTGATGGTAAAGTTATTGTGCTTTGGATACCAGTTACACGTGTAGACGATAATTTAGAACTCTTTAATTTTTAAATAATTTGCAAATAAAAGACCACAGTAAAAAAAATCACCATAAATAAATGATGTTAGAAAAAACCATTAATATAGAAATCCAACAAAAGTATTTTTAAGAAAGAAATATATAGATCATATATATATATATATATATTATTAGATTATCATTGAAATCTAAACACTTTATATTAAGAAAGAAAAACTGAACACAGATTTTTGTGACATATTAGATGGAAAGTGTATTAAAGTGTTTAGACAAAACTAATTAGTAATAATAAGATAAAAGTTATTAATTCATTAAAACATATTTGATGAGGTGCTAAGTGTTTTCTTTTATTTTATATATATATGGTATTCTTGTGCATCTAATAGAATAAGATCTATGGATTGTGTTCCACCCAATTAAGTTTTTTTTTTTTTCTGTAATTCGTCAGTTATGTGAAATAACTGACAAATATTATTAATTGTTTTAAATAAATTATGCCTCTGATAAAGATTTTGTTTTGAAAACATTTTCTACCCAATTAGTGATAGTAAGATTTCTAACTTAATTTAGGGATGTGGTCTATTTTTTCCTAAAAAGCAAATAAGTAAAGACTCATTTGTTGTATAAATATACAATGTCTTGCCTTACCTTCTCTTATATTTTCCATCTCTCAAAGCTTCCGAGATAAATTAAAAAATACAGTTGAAAAACAAGAAATTCTTCTCGTCAAAAATGGCATCTGGTATGTTTTTTCCTTGTTGTGATTATTCATGCTTCTTCCATTGTTATCAAAATTGCTCGACTATTTACTCGTTACATATTTTCTGCGTGAAACTAATTCGTAAATTTACGTATGATAACCACATATATATATAGAGAGTAGAGTTATGAACAACGTGTACATTGTGGAGCCCATAGGAGTTCATAAAGCCACTATAGTCTGGCTGCACGACATCGGGCTCAAAGGCGTCGAGTAACACTCTCACTGTCTCCCATGCTTTGTTTTGTATTGTTTTATATGCTCTCTTTTTTTCCTAAAATATATGCTCTTTTGTTTTCAAAACTCTCGAATTTTGTACATTTCCTCTCTATTTTCTTTTCTTGTTAGATAATAATAAGTTTGTTTCACTAAAGTTGTATATACATTACATATTATACACACTATATATATTTTAATTAATCTATTATGTATGCAGCTCAGTTCAGCCTCTGCAAAGTTTGGGTCTTCCCAATGTAAGGATCCATACAGATACATGTGTTTGCCATGAATTTAATTTCTTTTTATATATAGCCACAATGGAAACTATGAATTTTCTAATAAAAATATATGATTTGGCATAGATAAAATGGATTTGTCCGACTGCTCCTACACGCCGTGTTACTTCTTTGGGTGGAGAAGAAACCACTGCATGTACGATTAATTGGCTATAGATATACATATGTTATTTTGTTTCTTCTAAATCAGTATTTGATGTCTCTAAAATATTACTAATTAAAATGGAAAACTAATAGTACAGTATTCATAATCCTTTTATGGTGAATCAGGGTGCGATATCACAAAAGTTTCAGAGAGCATACATCATGATTTTGAAGCTTTAGATAATGTGAATTCATTTGTTGCTGGCCTTTTCTCTTCCGAACCAGAACATGGTAATTCGGAATTATCCACACTTAACATGCATAGTTTAGACTATCTATACATCAAATACATATATATGATTAAATAATTAATACTTTAATGTTGATTTTGGTATAGTTATTAAAGGAGTGGGAGGTGTCGGCTTGGGTGCAGCACAAGCTCTCTACTTTGCGAGTAACTATGCCTTTGGACGAGTCACCATAAACCTAAAAATTGTTATAGGGATCAACGGTTGGCCCTGATTATGTATATATGTTCTTATCCGATTATAATCATCAATGACGTTTTTAATGAGAATTTGGTTATGTAAATTTTGAATCATCACTAATAATGTCATTTCATCAATAAAATTGTGTTTTATTATATTTTCACCAATCTTTACATCTAGTAGTTGAATCTACCAAAATTATTCACTTAACACGGTGAACCAAGACCTGATCCATTCAGGTCCAGACTTAATCGAAACCGAATTTATAAACTAGATGTAATGTAATAATTAAAACTGTCCAAGTTCAGATATGTCTTTGTTTGGATCAATGCAAATTTACCTTTGGAGTTCAGGAGAGTTTCTACTTTATCCAGATGTTCTTTAGAAATGGTTCAACTGCATCAGTACGCAACTGATCAGACAAATTTCTTGATGCTTCCACTTTCCATATCCGGCACCAAATAGATTAAATAGGATCATTGAATTTATTTTTTTGATTTACTTGAACCAGCTTGCTTGGAGACATTCTACACAGACCAAAAACTTCAAAGAAAAAACAAATTCATGTCCAAAATATTTAGGTACAAGAAACTTCGCATACTTAACAAGACTGATGTATAATGGCCATTTTACTCAATAAACTTCGATTAATTTCACATTTAAAATTTTTTTTTTGTTTAAGCTTGTAAAACCGTATATAGGAGAACTATATAATCTCGTAGGCTATAATCTCAATCATCAGTTCCCTTG